CCCGTCTCCCGACGAAGGAGATGCCGTCGCGCCCCGGGGGTTGCTGCTGCCCCCCGCACCCCGCACCTGCCCCCCCCAATACAGGCACCGAGCCCTTCTGGAGGGGGCTGCGGGGCGATGCGGGCAGCCCCTGGGGCGCCCGGCTCTGTCCCGGGGAGCAGGCGGAGGTGCGGGGTGCGCGCCCCTCGCCCACCGGCGCGGAGCCCCCCGCCTCGCTGTGCCGGGGCGCAGAAGTGTCCGGTAAGGAGGACCAGGCTGCCTTGTCACATCTCAGCGCCGGGCAGGGGGGATGCTGCCCACGGTGCTCGCAGCCACGGCAGCAGCAGCAGCTCATGGGACAACCAAGGGACCAGATCTGTCCTCAGCCACCTCCTCGTCCCTCCACTTTCCCCGCGCTTCTGCCCAACCGCCCCTGTCACAGGACGCTCGGGAAGGGGTGCCCCCCGGGAATACTGCCGCGGGATGCAGCTGTGCACACCACTAGACACATGCCCCTGGCACCTACCAGATCCAGCGGTGCTCCTTGGGCCACTGCTCCAATATGATGAGAAGGAGTTAAAGATCCAAAAGTTCTTCTTTTCCCATCACGTACTCAGGCTGTTACAACTTGAAGTTACAGATAACTTTTAAGTTCTCCCATCCATCATTGTCCAGGACTACCAAACAGGCATCAATGGGAATTTTTTTCAAAAACTCTTGCTACGGAAATAAGCCAAAATATAAAATCAAGGTCAAATTAAAAAAAAAAACAACAAACAAACAAACAAACAAAAAACCCAAACTATAAAATACGACAGAATTTGTCATACGTAAGAATGATGGAGAACTTGTATTCATTTCCACTGAGACACAGCCTTGAGTTATACTACTCCTAGCTCAACAAGGCAGTTATTTAAAAATTAAAATTCTCCAACATGCTACAGTATCTGCTTGTCTTTATGTCTTGAATACTAAGGATACAATTTGCCTCTTCCTAATCCACCAGTGAGGTAATACACACCAGCAGAAACCATTCTTTCAAATAGCACCTAAAATCACATACATAAACAGTCAAAAGCACCATGCAATGGCCTTCCTCCTGAAAATGTTTGTCAGATTTTGGCATCTTACCATGCAATGAGCAAAAATGGTCAATTTGGTCTGATTGGGACCTATAAATTCCCAGAAAATCCTTTTTAAGACAATAGTAAAATATAAAAAACATCTCAAAATACATTATTGCCCATTAAAGTTCAGAGGAAAAGAGTTTACTTTACATTCCCCTGCCCAGTAATAACTAGAGATGGAGATCTCAAACTACAAACAGCTTGCACCATGCCTTTCTTTCTCAGCCAGATTTCTTCACCCATCTCTCCTGGAATGGGGGACAAGCCTGTTTGAAAAGAAACAATGAAGTTGGTACTTCAAGACCCTGCAGTCTGGGAGGTAGAAGCTAAAATGCCATTATCAGGTAGATCAAGCCAAAGAGAAGAACAGAAAAACCTTGAGACAGATATTTCAGTGTGCTTGTAAAAATGTGGTTAGAGTAAGGAAAGAAAACACAGGCTTGTAGAGTGCATACTGGGAAAAGCACTAGTCTGCCAAAGGGAGGGAAAGTGGCATTTCAATTGCTGTAGGGATGGGGATAGGAAAGCAACAAACAATGTTAGGAAAGTAAATATATAAACTGTCTCTCTCATCTCTCTTCTCAAACAACAGGCACAGAAGAGTGCTGCTACACTGGTACAGCTTGAAGAACACAAAGTGCCACATCATAGTTTTGTACATGTTAAGCATCAACATAAGCAGGGCAGATACATTTGCTGCCCAGCCCTGTACACATTTGTGTGCTCTTGGTATGAGAATAACTGAAATAGTGGCTTCTGTGAAAGGAGGTGATTTTGTGGGTTTACGGCTAAGTAGGATGGTGGCTTCAGAAGGTGTTGGAGGAGTGAAAACTGGAAATGACACCAGCAGAACTCACCTGACCAATGACCAGCTTTCTTCATTTCCTATTCCTAATGAAAACAGAAGGAGTGACCAAAATTGTCACATCACAGCCTCTGCTGTGGGTCCTGGTTGGGGGAACCACTGATTTCTCAGGGGGAAGCAGTGTCTTCACAAGTCATAGCCCTGAGCCAGAGCTGTGAGAAGGGAGAGGAAGGATTAATGTCTTCTACATCAGGACAGCAGCTCTTTCTTTCATCCACAGTTCTCCAATCAACCAATATGGCTCTGGGCTTGATAGACTCCCGTATATGAACAAAACCAAAAGCTATGGGTGCAGGAGTCACATGGGAGTGTTGCTCAAAGGCTTTTCATTGCTCTGGCTGTTCAAAGGCTGCAAAAGATGGAAGAACTGAAGTAATGCTGTTGGCTTGGCTCACTGAATTCAGCATTTCTGAATGTTTTGGAGCCTGAGTTTGTTGTAAAACCCTGAACTCCTGAATAGTTCAAGAATCAAGAAGATAAATACTCTTTTTGCCCCAAGTTTCAACCTGCGTCAGCATTCTCTGCTTATGTTCAAAGAGTTAAAATTCAGAAGCATTGATATAACATATATGCTGAGGTAAAAAAGACAGTCTGCATCTCCATGCGCTGTGATAATTGCAATCTGCCCATTGGATATCAAACTCCAAACACTGGGAAGAAAATGTAAATTAAAACCTATTCTGGATAGGAAAGCATGTTGCTGGTCGGCAAACGAAGTGTACAGTAATCAAATCCTCAAAGCCTCCTGCTGTAAATCCAGAAGCACACTCAAGTGTTGCGCTAATTTTTCACTGAAGACCAACTCCAGACAACTTTGTTGTAAATACACAGGCAGACATCAGAGGTGGTAAAATGCAGATAGCAACAGTATCTCTTCCTCTTTTGTCATCTTCTCTTAAATTTCTTGTGCAGCCTTCAGTGGCAGTTACTACATATTTGTATTACATTATTCACAGTTCTTGCTTCAAAACATTGGGAACCTTTTTTTTCTTTGCACATGACTACAGTAAATATTATCTTTCCAACTAATCACATTTAATGAAATATCGGTGATATAAAAGTCTTTATATTTAAGAGACAAAAGTAATAAATCAAAATAACTACAGGTGGAAATTAATAAAATAGGATCAGATATGTGACACCTCAGTCAAATAAAACTGTCAGTGAAAATGTCATCTAGTTAAATGCCACATTGTTCAGCCCATAATTGTTTGAGACAAAAAAGGACTTCTGAGGCCACAGACACTGACAAGTCCTACAGCACCCATTGGTATGAAGGGTCAGAGTTACTGGCTTCCGCTTCTAAACTAGCAGACCTTCAGGAAAACCCCATGGAACAACTTCTATAAAAGACCCAGCTTTACAAGGTGAATGAAGTATTCAAATAAAAAAATCAAATATTCAGATGAAGGTAAGAAAGGAGTTTTAGAGTAATGCCTCTACATTAGGCAATATTGTACATTTTTTGATGCATACACAGCATTCTCAATATCCTATGGTTGGAGAAAAGAAATTAAATTAATGTAAATTATGAGTTTCAATAGCCTGATAAACAATATTGAGAGGTGAGTTGGGCAAAGGCAAGACTCTTGCTCAAGAGTCTTGTTCTGTTCTGAAGCTAGCAATAGGCAGACAGCAGAAGTATGGGGGTGAAAAATTACAGTCTTGAAAATCTGAGTCACTCCTTAAGAACACCAGCGTTACTAATTCTTCTTGGATTTTTAGTGGCATTATTTAGTATCCACATTATTAGGAAATGAGGAATAATTTACATGTCTGGAGGTTGTTAACTTGGTTTTACAAAAGATTCTCAAAGAGATTGTGATTTTAAATCACGTAAGTGAAGTAAAATTCGCAATATCATTTCATGAAACAGTTGGGACTGATCAAGGCTGATTTTGCTTCAGAAATTAATTACACCTCATGTCTGGAAAATGTAGGCAGAAAATGAGGTCAGTAATGTGGAAGGAATGTGATAATGTAGATAGTAAAATGGCAATAAGTTCACAATAAAGGATGTCATCTATTCTTGAGCATTTGAAGGCTCATATAAATCTAACAAATAAGGCTTTCTTAAAAGCATTATGCAACTGTTATATTCCCTTTCTAAATCAGGTATAATTTCTGATTTAGGTCCTGTCTTGATAGTGTTAAGACAAAACTATACGTTTCTGCTCAAGCTAGAAAACAGATGTTTTATAAGAACACGTGCATAATGATATAGGTGTGCAGTTAGGCAGTGTAGGTACATGAAGTAAGTAATGGAAGTGCAATATGTCTCCTCAAGATCTGGTCTCAGGATCCTGGTTTTGCTTAATTCTTGAGGAGGATGGGTAAAATTCATATTCCCAGTATCCTGGCATGTTCAAAATACTCACTTTCAAATATGTTATAACACTCCTCTAATTTAAAAAAAAGTATGGTTCAGCAGCATGCGCTGAACAGCTCATCCATGGCTTTGTCATTCAGATAACTACCACTCTGACCTTCATGCTTCACCATGAAGTGGTTCATAATGCAGTCACAAATTCTGGCAGAAGTACTGCTTGAATTGGCACACTGGCCAATGCAGTTAAAGGAGGAAATTCCTATGTAGTTAAATATAAATTAATAGTGTTTTGTAACAAGCCCCAAATCAGTTCAGGAGGTTAAAAACACCAACATGCCAGTAGGCATTCACTATCAGAGTGGAATCATAAAACAAACATGCATCCTTCTGCTGAGATTTCCACCTGCTGACATCTAAAAAAAGGGACTGTTTGCTCTTACTGGAAGTACAGCTGTGGATAATGGCGTTTTATTTTCTAAACATCCATATCAACAAGGAAGTTCAATTCTTCACTT